GAGCAAAGCCGGGCGCCTTGATCTTGCAGCGGTAGGGGCGGCTGCTGCCCTCCGAGACCAGGTAGACCCCGAATTCACCCTGCAGGGACACGGGGAGAAGGTTGGGGACAAGCAGCGCTGCAAACCAGAGCCCTCTGCCCCGTGGACGCGCCGAGAACGGGCACCTTGGGGGCTTCGATGGCCGTGTAGGTGGCACCGGGGGGCACCTGGTAGCCCTCGGTGTAGAGCTTGAAGTGATGGATCAGGGACTCCATGGAGGACTGCAAAGAGAAAGGGGGGTCACCGAGGCGGTGGTGGCAGCAGGGAGGCACGCGGGGACAGGGGACACTGCACGTGCTCCCGCCCGCGAGCGGAGCCCCGTGCACAGGAACCAGCGCCGGCAGCGATAAGAGCGAAGCGATAGCGCAGGGCAGGGCCCACCACATCCTCCTCCCTGGCTCGCAGCAGGCCCTGCTGGTCACTACGAGCTACTTTTTTGGCCGAAACGGGTGCAGGAAACTCACGTGTGGGCAGAAGCGCCCAGCAAAGAGCCTCCCTCGCCCCCCATGCGCGGCCGGAGGGGACTAGGAGGGACACGGCACAAAAGGCCAAAGAGTCCCCAGCCCGACACCCACACGAGCACCCGCAAGGCACGCGGACAGATGCAGATGTCACAGGCCAAAGAGACAAGCAGACAGATGCAGATGTCACAGGCCAAAGAAAAAGCCCACGGGGGTGACACCAAACCACGTTTCCTGCTCATCTGCGCGAGCGCTGACACGCAGGCGGCAAGAGCGCAGCCCCCGAGCCCATGGGGACGGGGCGCAGGGGAGGGATAGAGCAAAAGAGCAGGAAAACCTCTACCTTCATCTCCGCCCGCTTCGGGGGGGAGATTTTGGCGTCGTCCACTTTGATCTCCCCCTCGGGCATCTTGTTGAGGCACTGCAGGATGATGCGGAGGGACTGGCGCATCTCCTCGACGCGGCACAGGTACCTGGCGCGGCAGGGACGGCGGCTCCGCCCCCGGGCCGGTCCCCCCCCCGGCTCC